TGCGCGATTGGATTGCGATTGGCCAGCGATTGGGGGGTTCACACAAATTTCGACACTCGCACTGTTGTCAGCATTTCAGACATCTGTTCCAGAACACTCTGTTCCAAACAAGGCAACTATTTTTCATAAGCATGTCCAGTGGTTTGTGCTGTTGGGCAAAATTTCTCATAAGATCTTGCGCACATGGAGTGTTATAATATCAAGGTCAAACGTTTTGTGGGAACTTTAACTCGATAGTTTTTGGGTTGGGAGGGACTTCGCAGGTAAGTGTTTGCCCCAACACAAAAACTGCCTTGTTGTAGTTGGTCTTGGCTGGGCCATGTTGGGCCAAATGCATCCTGACCGAGGTGCACACAACATGATCAAGCTAAGGTTAAAAGCACAATGTGTTTCGGGCTGCTTCGACCAGGGACATGGCAAGGTGCGTTGCACAGGAGCGCGTGCGCAGATACTCGACAAGCATATATATATAATATATTTTCCATAAATAAATATATATATATATATATATACTTTTTTTTCCGGCAATCATCTCATGATCAGTCTCCTCCATCAACATCATACTGCAGAAACCGGCCACGGCTTTACAGGGAAACCAAAAAGCAACAAAGCTGCATTTGCATTTTGAGAGAGTGACCACATCAGAACTTGTTTCCCATTGGTTTCCCATTGGTTGGTTTCCCATTGAGCACGCCACCAGCTGAAACCCATTGAGCATGCCACCAGCTGAAACCAAAGGGCATTTGGAATTCGCTAGCTAGCTAATTTGAACATCTTGCAATGCAGTTTCAGAGCATGGCCCCCAGCTTTCAAGCGATGGCTCACTCTCGTTTCAGTTGGCAGTTCCTGCACGCGGCACCACACACACAAACATGCATCCACGGGCTCACGTGCGAGTGTTGTCAACAAGCATGAGATTCGGTCCTGATTTTCTTGCGGGCGTGCTTCAAGCGTAGGAGAGCACGGCCAAGGATCCCCTTCATCAATCGGAACCGGTGGCAGCTCTTTGCCAAACCTCCCAGCTCATTCAAAGCAAGCATCAAGTCATGAAAGGAAACTGACATGTGCATGTCTACATAGACAGGCGTGAGCAAGTTTGTGCTTTGACGCTTTGTAGACACACACACACGCCAAGATCTAAACACTGGCGACCAGGTGAGTCTGACACGGCCAGCCTTTGATGTATCGCATGTAGTCCTCGTCGACCATGGTGTGCTCAAACCGCATGTTGTACCCTTAGCTCATCAGTGCGACACTATACCAATAAACTGGTTAAGAGTTCATCAAAAATGTGGCACACTTCTTATAGACTGAGTTTCGCCGAGAGAATTGCTCTCTAAGTTGATGATCGAGAGCCTCACAAGTTCAGAAACCAAGGCCGATCCAATGGTGACATGTTAATGCTTGGCCAACAGTGTGCAGCGATGATGAGACTTGCAATCAATATCCAAACGCCAAGGAACATGAACTTTTGGGATTTGCACCCAGCGAATTTGATTTCTCCTCGCCGAGAAGCAGCGCACCAATCCCAGCCAAGATTTCGCAATCAAGCTTGCATTGGCTTCCATTTTCTGTTTTAGACACTTGTGTCAAAACACAGAACACGAGTCGCAGTGCACACGAATAGCCTGGCCTGAAAGAGATCTCTGCCAGCTCCTTGCCAAGCATGAGGAACCTCCGCCCGTTGTCCCGGATGCTGGCCGCTTCCGGCTCAGACCTGGGATGATTGCCAAGCAGCCCCGACCGACAGGCAGGACCCTACTCAGGCCCTTGCAAGTACCGGCCAGCTCGTTCCATTGCTGACAGCATGTCATTTCCTGCAATCCTTAGAAAAGAGTATGGGGCACATCTAAGCCACCAAGTAGTACCAGCTCATGAGATCTAGGGCTCTGGCAGGCAAGCCGCCGTCAGGTTCATATCTGCGGATCTGTTGACAACCTCCGCTGCGCAGGAGGCCAGCCATGCGGCTACAACCCGGCCGTTGTAGGCCTTCAGAGTCCAGTTGGGCTCATTGAGGACGCCCTTCGTCACCTGGGAGAGAGGTAAGGACAAGGAAAGGAATGGGTTGGTTGGATTTCAAAATAGCAGGTGAGCTTTCAAGCCCGGGTATGCAAAGGTTAGTAAGGGAATCCTAAGTAGTTGCGGCTGCCATTGTAGTTCTTTACATTGGTTGGGGCACACCAATCAATTTGATTGTGACTCAAATGTCAAAAAACCACAAGCGTTGCAACACATGCAAGCGTCTGACTTTGGCCCAAACGCCGGCTGCGAGCAGCTCACGCGGTTCCTCTTCTTCCAGGCGCGGAAGTGCTGGTAAGCTGTCCTCACGGCCAGCTCAAAGGGCGCAGAGGCGTCACACCAAAATCCAGCTTCGATCAAAGTCAGCCTAGGATGGTGCAGGTTCATGAGCAAATTTGAAGGGTTTCCACTGTCCAGTGACCCACTTGAGAGCAAACACACAATGTTGATTTAAATCCAAGCCACAAACCGCTGGCGTTGGTTCGGTGTAGCAACCCCAATTGTACGTTGTGGGCGCTGCAAAACCGGATCATTGTGTGGTGAAATCCAATGATGCCAAAATACGGACCTCAGACTGGGATTAATCTCAAGATGAGCAATTGGGTTTGCTCATGATTTTCCACTTTGAAATTAAAATTGCCAAAATCGACATAAATATTGAATTTGGTCAAGGCGCAAATAGGCCCTGGCTGCAACATTGTGTTCAAAAACTCCACATGGCTCACTTCAGTGGCCACCCAATCTGCATCTTCTGCGAAGTTGGTGAAGTGCATACCAGGGTTGGGCCCTCGTAAAGTTGCCCGGCACCGAAAACAAGGTTGCACAGAGTTCCACCGAGGCTTCAGTTGCAGGGAGAAGCAATGCTAGGCCCAATCTCCACGAAGCTCCACCAAAGCAAATTTCAAGAAGTGGTTCTTGGGCGCTTGAAGAAGACGGTTGCAAATGTGGTGGTAAAGGCTCTCCGAGAAACCCCAGGCCTGTTGAAGGCTTCCAGCCATGAAAAAGAATGTTCAAGCTCCATGCTATGTACTGGAACACTGGCCAAAGCGTGCGGAAACCAGTGCATAAACTGCACCTGATGGCAAACACCAAGAACCTGCTGTTTCTGCATGATGCCGGGCGCCAAAGAGGGCATGAGAGAAGTATGGCCGTCACCTTCTCAGAAAACCCAGCTTGGTCTGTGTTCCGCGCCTCATCCCCGTATAAGGCAAAAGGGAGGTGGACCTTGTCGCGTGTTGCAGGGTGATCTTTTCCCCAAGCGAAAAAGTCACTGGCGTGTTGCCAATATTGTCTGACATTTTCCTGGGCAATCTTGATGCCATGGCCATGCTTGCCAAAAAGGTATTGCACCAGGCTCAACACGTTCACCACGGGGACAGGCATTGTGACAACTCCCTTCCCCTCCTCCGTGAGGTCCACCTCCGTGCGGACCTGCGCCACATCCTCAGCAGCGCACATTAGTCTGCTGCAGGAAAAGTGGCTATTGAAACTGACTGGTGCCCCAATGCTTGAGTCTGAGACTCTACAGGCAGTTGCGCATCTCTCCAAAAATCCCTCGAGGCATTCTTGCCTCTGGCGAGCTTCTCCAAGGAGCGCGTGCCGCCAGCCAGGCTGAAGCCCTGATTGTGCGCTTCCTGATCAGTTGCAGCCAAACTCGAGCTAGTTAAACCAAATTATTTGCTGGTTGTTGTCATCTAAGCCTATGGCTTGCGAAGCAGCTGCGGCAGATGCGCAGATCTGTTCCACACTTTCCTCGGTTTGGACTTGTCAAGAGGCTTTTTAAAATGCGTTTGTTTTCAATCTGTGAAATAGTCGCAATGTGAAATGAGTCACAATCAAGTGCTCTACCCAAAACCATAGGAAGAAAATTGAGAGCCGGCCACAAACCCGGTCCAGGTTTGATTGTGCCTCAAATCAACTCATAAGGTCCCTGCACCGTTGCCAACCTGCTCCTCCAAGTGGTCCCGGAAAGGGGCGTCACCTGCGTGCGCCAAGGACTTGCAAACTGCCCAATTGCCAGCGCTAGCATGCAGGCGTGGGCAACGCAACGCAAGTGCTCGTTTCGCTCCAAATCGAACTGGCAGGCTCAGAGGCAGCCAGTTACTTGAGTCACAATCAAAACCCGGGTAGGCTTTTGAGTTCTTTACATGGCTTTGGGTAGACCCTTTTTATACTGGGTTTTCATTATGACTCCCCTGACTGAAATCGCTACCCGGAAGCAGCTCACTGCAAGCCAACGCCATGAGTTCAAGAACTTGCGCTGGTTTGTTGTAGATGGTGGCTAAATGAACTGCCCTAGATCAAATTTGCTCAAAATAATTATGTCACAGTGAGCACTTCCATTCCCCATGCCGTGCCAGTGCTTTCACTGGCATGCCCGCGCAGGTCTCAGGCTAGGCGCCCACCTGCTTCTTAGGCACGGCCTTGGCTGGGCGGCATGTGCACGCACTGATCTGTGGGTTTTTGAGCCCTCGAAATATGTTACTTGCTGAAAGCAGTTTGCTATGAAATATTATGCGCTGGGCACGCATGTGTGACTAGCTAGTTGGATCTGTCAAAATATCAATGCCTTAGTTGAATGCATGAGAATGGTGCCTTGGGGTAAAACAAGGGGATCAAGTCTTGCCCCACACCGGCTAGAAAGTTGGTTCATAGGCTTCCCACAAAAACAACACCAAGATGTCTTCAGCACCCTGATGTCACTGGAACACAAAACACGTTGAATCTTATTTTGGGTATATGTTTGTTGTGTAAATGTGGTGGACAATTGGTCATGCTTTCAACAACTGATGAGGCCTTTGTCAAACTCATTCTCAGACAGATCTGAGTTTCTGTGGACTGACCAAGCTGTGGTTGACAGTACAGGTGCGGCTGTTGTCGAGGGGTTCTGTAAGGATTTTCCACCAAAGCCATGACACACCAACACATATAGGTTTGGGGATCCTCCGTGAAAGCCCTTTGCAAAAGTCTAGCCAAGGGACAATGTGCTTCTTGCAAGCCTTCACGGCGGCCTTGTATGTCTCGAGGAGCTCGGAGACACTGAGCAGCATGGCCTCCGCCTCAGGGGCAAAAGTTGAATGACAGAAGCCAGTAAACCAACTCCCGCCTTCTCCCCCTGAAGCTTCTCCAGCTCATCCCGCATCGCTTTCATGCGATCAAGCGTGACCGTAATGTCCCCCAAGAGGCAGGACGTCAAGCTCTGCCCCCTGGGTCACAACAAGTGACAGAGGCATAGACACACATCGCAGGTCTAGAGATCTAGATTTGCTAGACTCAGGGTTGGGCACATTGCTCTCTTTGAGCTTGTTCTCCCACTGGCCCGCTTCTGCGCTAGCGTTTGCGATCTCCTTGAGAACCTGCCCGGGTGCGGTTGCTGGCGGGACGGTGCAGTGTGTTTTTTTTTGGCGCGCCTTCTTCTTCTTCACCTCCGTTGCGTCTTTGGCAGCCGCCTTGGGCTTGGGAGCCCCTTTGGCAGATGCCTTGGGCTTCCTCTTCTTGGGCTTGGCCTTGCTGCTGCTGGCCTTTGTGTTCTTGGGCGTGGCTGGCCTCAGCTCCACACAACAGCATGCGCAGGACCAGTCTTTGAGAGCATAATTGTGGACAAGACGCAAAAAAATGCAGCCGAGGGGTTTCATGAGTTGGCACATAAACCCCTTACTCCCAACCCCTTTTTTGATCCTCTACTAAGCAAGGATGTATACTTGGAAACCAAGTTTCCCAAAAATACATCTCAAAAATGGGTCGCACGCGCACACCCACACACACACACACACTCGCAACGCGACTTCTAAATTCCTTTTTTTCAAGTGTGCAAGATGCGAGACACAATTAATTGTAAAACTGTTTCACTTTAATGCTGATGTCGCCAATAACAAGAAGTCGCAATTTCTTATTGTTCAACATGTGTCCACTGTGAAATCATTAGATTTGTTTAGAGATGTTTGTTCTGTATCATTGTGCACCCTTCCCCTCCGCCCAATATGCACTGGATCAAATTAGGAAGCCACTTTCATAGTGATGCATCCAAGGCACACCTCCTCATCATGATCAGGTTCCGCCCCACTGCTCTCACTCTCCTTTTCGGACACCTCCAGCTGGAACCCCTTCTCTTCCTCATCCTCTGACTCTTCCAGCTCTGCCTCCTCCTCAAAGACCTTGTGCTGCTGCATCGCCTGAGGCAGCAGAGGGCAGCGAGACCGAGGCAGGGAGTGACCGAATCTAAACCACGAGGTGGGAAAGACCCACATATACCATGGCCAGCACTCCCTTACACCCAACACTTCTTTTAGAGGGTATGATGTTGACTTTTTATCAATCAATGATGCAATTGTTCTTGGAAAACGGTTTGCAAAAAACACAGATCAAAACGGATAGAGTGTAGGGGGAAACCATAACACAGTCAGCTTCAAAACGAGTTTTTGCACATGTGCATGGGAGCGCATGAGTCCGGCACACGAGTCCCCACACCCACGCGCCTCCCGTCCAGGGAAGTCTGGATGAGCCCGAGCCAGGCCAGCTTTCGCCTTTTCTTCGCACAGCACTTGCACCAGCTCTTCATCCTCATACCTGTGATGGATTGGAAGGGCGCACGCAACTCCCCCGCCCCAAAACTAAAAGCGAAAGTTGCATGTGCAGAGACCCAGCAGATTGGGGGTCAATTCGTGCAGCCCGATTGTTCTTATGCGGAGGCAGTCAGCCACAAGATATAACAATTGTACACAAAACGATTAATTGCTGGTTGAGTCGGTCAATGGCCTAAATATCACGGTCAATCGCCCACATGTCACGGTCAATTGCCCAAATATCACGGTCAAACAAAGTGTGTGTTTTCCCCACACCTAGCATCGCAATGCAAGCTATGCCAGATACCCCGTGCCTTGGTGGCTCCCAGTGATCTTTTTAGGGATTAGCATGCTAGTGTTTGGAGGGGATGTCCATTCAACCCACTAAACTTTCACGTTAAACTTGTAGCGCAGGAGCTGGGAACAGCCAATGCAGAAGTGCATGCACACGCGAGGCGAGCTAAGTGAACTCACGGTGAAAAGGGAACATTGGCCGGAACGTTTTGTCCCGGATCCGCTGTTCCAGAAATTCTTCAGCCTCTTTCAGATCGGCATGCAGCCAGCTGCATGGCGGGGCCTGGCCAGGACACCCATGGGTTGCAAAGCGACGCTGCGCACTCAGTCCTGCTGAGGAAGCAGATCGAGCGAGAGGCGTGCTTGGCTCCCTCGTTGGTCATTTTCCTGGGCATGTTTGGGAAGAAACGTTTGACCACCATATTGGAAAGAGGCTGGCCTGGATCTCCTGCTGCGTTTGAATCACACGGGCCGCAAAGGCTTTTGTGTAGGCTTGGGACCGTTTGAGATCCTTTCCTCCACTCCTGAGTCTAAATTGATTGGTCAACGTGCAGCATGGCACTCGCGCAAACCCTCAACTGTTTTTGCCAGGGCGCACCCAAAAGCGGTTGGAGGAGCCAGTCTTCAAGGTTTTCTTGACCATACACACGTTGTTCTTTTTCTGGCTCTCCTTGATCTCGGCCCGCCGCTCAGGCGTGAGCCGGTTGTGGAGGTCCGGGATTCCTGGCCTGAGGGTGCGCGTGGGCCAGGCTCCACTCAGCACTAACTGTAAGAAGACAAACAAGAAAAGAACGACAGCTTTGCACTGCTGCTTAAAGCATATTGTATATGTGGCGCAACCTCATTCGAGTCTATGTGCAAGGTTCATCCAACTGGCGCAAGTAATCAGACCAAGCGCCCAGCCAAGAACCAAACACCTGCGTTGGTTTGTACGTGAAGCTGTTGTACATGGCCATCCAACTCAGTGCAGTCAGCGCATGTCAGCGCTGGCTTCTGGCCATTCTTTAAATTTGTTGTGCTTGGAAGAGGTCTTCAGCCGTGGCAACGTTGCGAAATGTTGCGAACTTAAAGCACATCTAAGCTGCTGGCCATCGCGTAAGGTGCATCCGAATGATGCCCTCGTCGAGGTCCATCAAGTACTTGAAGTAGGGCACGTGCCGTAAGACCGACGAGCTCGGTTGCTCTACAGCCCACCACACATCTCGTGATGTGCAAAGCACACAAAGCATCGCTGCTCGCGACAGGAGCAAATTTGACTTCTGCACGCAGGGTAGGCTGGTGTCTCCCAAAATGTCGCGATTCCTCTTTGATGTTCCAAGGGATACAAATACAAGGAGGGAACATGGAACTCCCAGGAACATCAACGACCCTGCGGTCAAGCGCAAGGCCTGGCGCAGAGCGTAGATCAGCCCAGGCCTGGAGAAGCAACGCAGGGGCGTGTGTGGGGTCTCACGCAGTCACACGTCATTCATTTCGCAATCAGGCTGAATCAGGTCATATATGCTACACTCAAAGAAAAGCGAGTGTCTAATATAATCAAGTTGATTTGTGGGAATGCGTTCAACTCGTGATCAATCAAGTTCCGGCAACTTGACACTGCGTGCAAGTGTGAGTTAGTAAGGCATCGACAAGCTGCCCAGGTCGTTCACCTGGCCCTTCCGGGATTGGAAGTCATAGTAATCCCTTGGAGATGCATGCTTGTTTTCGCAATGGTTGCATGAATAGTCCGCTCGCAATTGGTAAGAAATTCTAAGTGATTGGCGAGGGCCAGCGCTTCCGACCTTCGAGGCAATCGCTTTGAGAACACATTTTATTAACAATTGTTTGCTGGGGCTGTCACGGGCTTCCGTGTAGATCATGGCCTTGCCTGAGAAGACTTCGAACAGCCGCAAATCCTCAGCGCATCAAGGTCATTCATCGGGCTTTGGCCGGTCCCTTGGTGGCTTCGACTTGCTGAAATGACTCAGGCTAAAAGCAGCTTTCTTTTGAGCCTTGTTTGCAAACTGGGATCTACACCCTCGATGCAGAGACACCCGAAGTCTCATCGCAGTTCTGGCTGATAAAGTCGCACAAATGCAACCTTACTGTGGGCGAGGCTTACACACACATTTGAATTTCAATGTTTCAGCTTGCAAAACACATACACATTGCTCCACTCACGTACCCAGATGCACACACAGGCAAGAGTCAACGCACCAATCCCCGACATGTGGATCATGGGTTCAACACAGGAAATGCTTGGCTGCTGGCAGCACCAGAGGCGCCCCCAATCGGAGAAGAAGTTGATGCTGCCTCCAGTTTCTACAACATTGGTAGCGGATCCATAGAGCAAGCGCTGCCTCTGAGTCAAGGCCAGCGGGTGCAGCCGGGCAGTGGGCGCAGGCATTATGCTACACTTGGCCTGCAACAGGCCCCGCCCTTTAAATTTGGAAGCCAAATGCTGCAAACAGTGACAGACTCATCCTCACGCAGGGTGAATGTTGCATGTTCTGGCGTGAGGCAACGGCCCACTAAGACGAAAAACCACACACACACACACTTTCTCCCCTGCGGCAGTCACATGTGCAACGACCACGTACTACATCAAGAAGGTTCACGAATCCAAGTGCGCCGAAGCCAGGCAATATGCTACTGGGTCCACGAGTCCAAGCGTGCCGAATTCGAAGCCAGGCAACGTGGTATTGGCATCGACCTCAAGGGCGGAGCATCCATCAGTATGCGAAAATATGGAATCTCCGCGGGGCCACTCAGCTGCATTTGGTGTAATGCAGTGCACGCACGGCTGATAACATGTATTTCCTGTGTGGGTCTCCTTGCCAGGTGGCTTGTGAGCTTGCCGGGTGGGCTCTGAAATGAGCTCGTGAGGATCAGGAAAGCTCGTTGATGCACTCGATCATCATGAGGCCCCGTTGCAACTAAGAAAAAGTGTCCAATGGCTCCAGTTTGTGCACTGAAATGATATTGCCTTTGCATCAAAAGCTTGCCAAAAGCATCCGATGGGTTCACTCATCAGTCGCTAGCTAGGCACTGATGAGCACTTGCGTACTTATCTGACTCCTTATATGGGGACCCAGTGCGAAAGGTCAGATTATGCAATCCTTTACAGCAAAGCTTCGGATGAATGCCGATCTGAATTGCCTTGATGTCCTTGCTGAGGTGGGAAGGCGGGCCCAAGCAAAAGCTTCGGCGTCTATGGTCTTTCGCCCAATCAAATTCTGGAATCTTCATGTCCGGAAGCTTCAGGCCGTTGATATAGTCCAGCACCTACACGCAAAGCCCCAGATCCGTAACAAAGGAACAAAGCCCCAGCCAGATTTAAGTTCTGCACTCGCCGAGGGGTCAAAGTGAATGCCGCAGGGGCAAGAAAGATTTCATCGTGCTCCACCTTGTTTTTTTTGTGCGGCTGCTCTGAGCCTGTTGGGGCAGGTCTGGAGGCTTTGGGCTCGGAGGGCTGGGCCGGCTGAAGGGTCTGGCTCTCATCAGACTCCTCAAGGCGGCGCTGCAGCTTTGCAGGAGGCACCTCAAGGCCCTTTGCCGCGGTGTTGGCAGCAGCGGTTTTCGCTGCTTTGCTCTTGGCAGCGGATTTTGCTGCAGTCTTGCTTTTTTTTTTCAAACTCTCCTCCACCTTCTCGCCTAGCATTTGCTTGACTGCCATCCTCACTCGT